ATACGATTTTAACAACCTTGATACTGAGTGAAAAATGATCATTAGCTAGGATGAAATAGCTATGGGTTGAACAACTTAATCATAAACATGATTCATAATGATACTGAATTAGTTGGGATGAAATAAGCTAAACAAATAAAATATCTATTTACGTGAAAAACTAGTAATTTAATCATTGTTATAAATATTTTGAATAATACATAGCATTTTTTATGTCCTTAGATGTAATTTTACATTTTCCAGTCCCCTTTCAGCTTTTTTGTCAAACGGGTAACTTGATTCAACTAGCAATTCAGTTCCAGACAGTAGTATCTAATTCAGACAATAGCTCTCAATTCAGACATTAGTCGTCTCCAGCTCCAGCTCGTTGTGCCAAACATAGCCTATATGATCAGGCAAAGAAAGAATGGGGTTTGCTACCTAAGAAGCACCCGATTCGACCTCCAAACAATCCCATCCTTGTGCCTTAAGCCAACTCAGAGCTTCACGTATACTTAGCGTCTCTGCTTCCATCCTTGAGGCCTCAACTTGAAGTTTCAAACATGACCTCTCAAAACCTGTAGACAATATTTTATCCCATGCCAATGTTAAGCTTTATTTCTATTCTACCCAAACATATTGGATAGTTTTTGTTGTACTATAGCTCGATCACCTGCATTCATTAGAGGTTGCATGCCACGATTCCTCCATTTTAAGGACTATTTTACTTTCCATTTCACTTGGAGTACTATGGGATGCGTGTTCTTATTATGCAATAAATTAAAATATGGGTGCACAATCAAATGTTGATGAAAAATCAATAGTTTTCCATGCTTACAGAATTTGAGACCAAAAGGACGGAAAGCTGGGTCATTAGGTATTAGGATTCGGGATTCCTTCCTAACAAAAGGAGTAGCCCAATGTTTTATATGTTTGTATTTTTACCCAATCTTAAAAGCAAACTAATCTTATAGTCCGTGTATTCATTGTTTAGGCTTAACAGGATCTAATTGCTTAGATTCCATGACCATCAGGACCCAGTACCAACAATTGACGTCCACCTCATTAATCACCACAATACCAAGACTGCTCACCATGATCGATTAAGATAACCGGTCTAGAGAGAGCTCTTGGTTGACCACAATAGGAGCTTGTTGAGCTCTTAATCAAACATCAAGTTTTCCAGGAAATGGGGAAATTGAATTTACCAATAATTTATACTATACACCAAGACCAAGAATGGTATAATGTAATGGTAATAAACTAGAGAGCTCATAGTACCAAAAGGATCAACTAAGATTTTTATGTCGTTAATGTATTGATCTATTCTTTAGGTGTCATTTTCTTTATGTTTGGTACCATCCTTTTCAACTCCATGGAACGCAACATGTAAAATTTTCAGACATTAATGGTGCTTGAATACAATCGTGTATAAGAGTTGATTGCTATATCTTGCATGTGAAACTCCACAAATATACCAGGAGACAATGCCGAAAAATCAAAAAACATATTTTGTTTAATTTTGAGCGATTTAATACATAATTTCAATTGAAAGTTGACCTTGATGTAGATCAGAAATATACACTAGGCATGAGAATGGAACCATCGAAGGAGCCCATGTGAGTTAGTACTCTTCCACCGAAAGTAGTCTTTCACATCATCCAATTTTCTAGTAACACTATTTGTTAGATTGGTGGTGGAAAATATGGGAGTTGAGTTGCCAAGGGGAGGGACTGGACTATCGATGGTGGTGGAAAATGGACTATCGATGATGAGCAGGGGCGGAGCCAGGGTACCGTGCCGGACTGAGCTAGGGCACATGTTGGAGGTATTGGTCCTACCAAGGCCTCCCTTCCACTTTATTTGATGAGGCTTGCACCCTATTGTTTTACTCCCACTTTGGTACCTTTACTTGGTATTTTATCTGATCAATAATATACCTGTTTGAGGGTTGACTTACCCACTTGGCTGGCCCCTTTGTGTTCTGTCCGCTGCATCCACCTTGTCTTGGCCTATACATGTGACTTTGCCTTGTCTTTGTAGCATGTGAGTGTTTGTTGTTTTGACCTCACCCGTGACTTCTCTTCTAGCTGGCAGCCTAGTATTTGTACCCCTCGCTTCTCCCTTTGTGAAGCAGCCTGCGAGTGATACCTTCCTGAGAGCAGTGCTCTCCTTCTCTTTCCCTTTGTGTGAGAACTGAGAGGGACTTAGTGGTGAGATAAAAACTTAAAGTTGTGCAAAGCCTCCCCTAAAGTGGTGTGTGAGAGTGTGTAGAAAGACCTGAGCCGGAGACGGAAGTATACGATCCTTACAGCACACATAATTTTTACACTAAAAATTTAGACTTTTTTTTAAATTTGGGCTGGGTCAGGGCAGAGTTGACCCCTCCCTAGCTACGCCCGTGAACATGAGATGTTGACATAATAATGACGGCAGAAGAAGGGTTTGTAGTGAAAAATTGAAAATTGAATTAAAATAAACTAAACTGCAACCAAATTAAACACCCCGACTCAACAGGACATATCAGGGTCATGATTCCGTGCACATCAGAGGTTCAGCCCAGCACACGATCCAACCTCCTTAATCATTCATCTGTTTTTCCCATCACTCGACCAACTGAGCTGTCTTGCGTGTGCTATATCAATTTTTGGGTGAGGAGGATACACACCAGTAGCACTGTACGCATTAAAGAGCTTGGTGAGCACGAAGTAAAGACTATCCTATCAGTATTCCCCTTTTACGTTTAAAGATAGAAAACGTGCATGGACAGCGTTTGGTGGATGGCGATCAGTCCTTTTTCTTCATCATCTATCACATATATATACATGAAATCAATAGCTCAGCCAACAACTATTCAAAGCTTCTGTCAATATGAGAACGAAACCTAACAGCTGCTCCATGCTCTGTACGTTCTGAAATTTCACCCTAACATTGATGACCATTTAATCAATCAATTACGTACTCAGTGTCGATCCCTCACAATTTTACCATGAATGTTTCTGCCAATCAAATTAAACATTGTCAATATATTTTTGTAGGGAATAATTTAATCCATATAATACAAAAATTATATGAAAATGTCCTTTTTCGAAAATACTTTTAAAAGTATAAAATATAAAACTTCCGCAAAAGTGATAAAACAACACTAATCAGAATAATTAGTCAGAGTTTACTTGCACTATTAACTTGAAAAGTCAAAGATATCAAAATTTCGAGGGATATATATAGAGAATAATAATACTCCGTACAATACTACTCTCTCTTTCAAGCTTAAATTGTCTCATCTTTTCTTTTCGATCTGTCTCACATAAATTATCTCACACCAAATTTGATAAAATTTGTGTGATTTAAATCATTCTTCTTTTTATTCTTAGTTTCTTACTTTATTAATTTAATATCGATAAATTACATAAATCTATTTTCTTAATAATCACATCACCTCCTTCCGAATGCTGGTGGGATGGAGGTAGTACTTAATACTCCTTCCGTCCCATTTAAATTTTTACACTTTCCTTTTTGGTACGTGTGCTGTTTTACGGTTTACGTTTCCTTTTTAGGCAACTCCTTTTACATTACATGTCCTAACTACCTTTCACTATCCACCCACTTTTTACATTTCAGTGGATAACATTCATTCTCTCCAAAAGTTAAAAGGCATGCAAGACATTTGTTCTTTAATTGAGCTCCTAAAATACGATGACAAAAGTAAAAGTCATGTTCTATCCATGACGGAGCCACGGAGGTAGTAGTAACCAAGGTAGAAACAATATACGGAGTACATAATCAGTGAGAGTAATGTTATACGGAGTATGTAATACACCATCTCTTACATCTTAAACTTCTGACTCTCTGTTTTGAATGTCTTAACTAAATGTTCTTACTCTTATTTTCAAAAATAAGTAACAATCTTATATACCCTTTCTGTCCCTTTTTACGGAGTATTTATTAATGTATTATAAATTAAATTTTAAAAAAATATAGTTAAATTCTTCTCATTTCGCATTTTCAAAATCTAATTTTTTTACTAATAAGGAATGAAAGATATTAATGGTCAAACTTGTGTGTTGGCAGCCGTGAAAAGATATTAAACTTACGCTTAAAGAAGAACGAAGGAAATAATCATAATTATCTCCAGTTATCCCATTATAATATACGAAAGTATAATATATAGAATCATCAAAATTATTTATCAATATATACTTCAATAACCTTATTATATTGTTGTTTATACTTTATACTCCCTCCGTCCCATTTTGGTTGTCTTATTTTCCTTTTTGGGTTGTCCCAAAATGAATGTCTTGTTTTCTTTTTTTGGCAAGAAATATGTGGTTCTTTTCATTTCACTTTATTCTAGTGGCGGAGCTAGAAATCTATGGTTAAGGGTGCCGGTTCTTAAAAATTTTACATTATTGGGGCCAAAGTTTAAAATATCAACATGTTTTCTATAGATTAAAAGTATTTATACATAACATATACTTAAGAATTTTTTTTATTGCAGGGGACGAGGCCCCCCCAGCCCCTCCCTGTCTCCACCCCTGCTTTATTCTACCCAAATCTCAACCACAACTTTTACTTTTCAACCACTTTATTAATAATCGTGCCAAATTGAAAGTGGACAACTAATATGGGATAAATAGAGGGTAGAGCAGGATATATGATCTCTTGTTTCTCTTGATAATTTCCACTACCAGACATGACAATGGAAACCAACCTCTGTTTCTCTCAACACCCATGGCTTCTTCTACTCCTGCCCCTCGGCCTCTGCAAACTCTTGTCCTTCTCTTTATCCATTCTGAAATGGGCCCACGCCTATTTCCTCCGGCCCGCCAAGAATCTCAGGAAATACGGGTCGTGGGCTCTGGTGACCGGACCCACTGACGGCATCGGAAAGGCCTTCGCTTTCCAGCTGGCTCGGGAGGGGCTCAACGTAGTCCTGGTGGGTCGGAACCCGACGAAGCTGAAGGAGGTTTCCGACGGGATACAGGGCAAGTACGGGGGCCTGAAGGTCAAGACCGTGCTGGTTGACTTCTCCGGCGATTTGGACGGCGGCGTTCGGCGAATCCGGGAGGCGGTCGAGGGGCTGGACGTGGGAGTGCTGGTGAACAACGTGGGGGTGACTTATCCGTACGCGAGGTTCTTCCACGAGGTGGAGGAGAAGCTGCTGGCGGAGGTGATAAAGGTGAACGTGGAAGGGGTGAGTAAGGTGACTCAGGCGGTGTTGCCGGGGATGGTTCAACGGAGGAGAGGGGCGATAGTCAATATTGGGTCCGGCATGGCGGCAGCCATCCCTTCCGCTCCGCTGCACGCTCTTTATTCTGCCTCCAAAGCGTAAGGCATTTAATTTTCAGCTGCCATCTCTTACGTACATACATGCTCCCTCTACCCCTCCCACATTTGAATACACTCTACCACATTGTACACGATTAATTAAGTGCAATAAAATGCATGTTAGTAATTAAACTTAAATGTGATTACAAATCTATTCTCGAAAACTGAATGAGTTAAATGAGATTATCATATGAGAATATTACCCGAAATAAGATTGCCATGTTTTTATTCGCAAAATAGGATTAATTCCTGTCATGTTTTGATAGTACCAGACTTCAAACATGACAGTATTTTCCAAACTTGACAATAATTACTCATATTTTCAGAATAAAAAACATGACAGTCCTATTTTGAAATTTTCAAACTGTTTTAGTCCTATTTTGGGAACTTTCCCTTATTATATTGATTGATGAAGAAAAGTTAATTGAAAATCATTTTAGAATAAATAAAAGTGAATTATCTAAATAGAATTAAAAGAGGGCCAAAATCACAAATAGGATTATATTGTTTTAAATTTCCTAGTAGGACTATCTATGTGTGATTGAACAAATATACCTTTGTAGCTTTTGAAATGTTTTGATTCATAGTAAAATCTTAAAAAATAATAAAAATCGTAAAATAATAATAAAATATTTATAAAATAAAATTTTCAAAACAAAGATTTTTTGAAAATAAAAATAAACTTTAAAAAAACTCTGCCGCCTCTACCACCCCTAGCATCACTAGTTCTGATTACTGGGGAAAATGCCAACATGCATTACTAATGCCATATTTATGGCAGATTGAACGGAAAATTTTGGCATTATCAAGAGTAATAATGCAATTTTCTTTGCATTTTCGGAAAAATTGCATTATTTACAAGAAAATGATATTTTTCCATCGATCGGAGGTAGTGGTGTTATGAGGTAGTAGAGGCAGTGGGAAAGACATACATAATTATTTTTTTATTTTTGTATGGATTTTTACTACTAACTCCGCCCCCCTAATATTGAGACGGAAGGGAGTGATGTGATTTTTAAGAAAAGTAAAATTATTTGGTTGATAATGAGTTGATAAAGTGGGAATAAAGTAAGAATGAATTAGAGTCATACAAATGTTATCAATGTTACCAAATATGGTATTAGACAATAATAAGGGAACATCCAAAAATGGAAAAATGGGACAATTATAGGGGGACGGGGGAGTATTTTTTTTATTATTTAAAAAAAAAACAAAGTTCAAAAAACCTTTTTTTAAACTTTTATTTTATACATTTGTTAATCAATTTTTTATGATTTCTTTATTACGATTTTATTATGAATTAAAACATTTCATTATGAATTAATACCCTTAAGGGTATTTAGTGTAGAACATTAATGTTTGGGAAAATGAGCAAATAAGGCCACGTACTAACCAAAAAAGGTCAAATAAGGCTTTATTTATGAGGTTATGTCCGGACTTCGCCATTGGGGGTGGTTCCTGGTGGAATTTTTTGATGATTTTTTTTTTTATCATCTTATTCATTAATTCTAGTTTACTCATACCAAATTTCAGCTAACAATTCAATCGGGAAGGCATTTAAATGAATTCTTGAATATAACTGCGCAATTATCTTAGAGAATTCATTTGAATGTATTCCCGATTGAATTTTTAGCTGAAATTTGGTATGAGTAAACTAGACTTACTGAATAAGATGCTCAAAAAATGTCATCAAAAAATTCCAACGGGAACTACCCCAAATGGTGATGGCCGGACAGAGCCTCTAAAATAAGGTCTTATTTGACCTTTTTTTTGTTAGTACGAGGCCGTATTTGCCCCTTTTCTCTTAATGTTTAGTCCAATTTGTCAACGATTTAGGGATCTATCCTAGCCTATTTGTGATTTTTGGGCAAATGTTAGTCCTATTTAGAACAATTACTAAATAAAAAATCGACCCGCACACACTGAAGTGAATAGCGGCGCTATCACGAGCTATATCGGGGATTAGCGGTGGTGCGGAGCAGCAGACTGGCCTCGTGCTACACGATGGCCTGGTGCGGAGCATTTTGGTGAAGCGTCTAAGGAGGCCGCAATAACAGTTGCACAATTTTATTAAAGGCGGCCGCAATAGCGGCGCTATTTCTTCCTTCGATGTCCTGCGTTTGTTTTTCTGCATTTAATTTATTTAGGGCTTAGGTTGAAGGGAAAATTAGTCTTGTTATTATAAAATTTTAACCACAATAAACCATTCTACACGTGCGCAGACCAAAACCTTACAAACGGTCTCGTCTTTTGAACTCCTTATGTCGTTCTTTTTGCTCTGGATTGCGATGACTTCTCTTTCAACAATGACAACCTTTTCATCTGCGATGACTGCTCTTCGCTAGTTTCCACTTCACCTCTTTCCAGTACAATCGTTACTTCATCTTTTACTCTTCCTTCATTCTTTTACTTGTGCTGTAACACCTTCCACAAGATGAAACTTTTCTTTGTTGAAGTCTTCTTTTCTTCTTCTCATTAAGCATGGATTCTACTGCCACTGCCATGTTTAAGCCCACAAGAGACTACCTTGACCCGATTTGGGAGTGGACTAGTTTGAAAGATTTAAATGACAAGAAGACAATTACATGTGATTTTTGTGGCAAAACTACTATTGGAGGAATTACCAGAGCCAAAAGACACCAAATGGGAATTAGAGGAGTTGTAGGAGCTTGCAGGAAAAGTCCAGTTAATGTTACACTTTTACTGAAAGAAGCATATGAAAAGAAAAAAGTGGAAAAAGAACCATACATGGAGTTGCAAGAAGATGAAGATAAAATTGAAGAACTCAATAAAATTCTGAATATCAGAAAAGGAAAAAGCCCCCTAACATCAGCTGCCTCTCATTCTAGTGCCAAAAGGGCTACCTAAAGGGCCCTTAGACTTGCTGTACTATAAGAAACCAGAAAAATGATAAGCTTGGGAAAAGCTAAGAGGCAAACGCGCATAAATGATGCTTGTGACAAGGAAACTAGGGACAAAACCATTCAATATATTGAAACATTTCTATGCACAAATGGAATTGCTTTTAATGTTGTGAAATCAAAAAGTGTCAAATTGATGGTTGAGGCCATTGGAAATTATGGTCCTCATTTAAAGCCCCCAAGTTACCATGAGTGTAGAGTTCCACTTCTTCAAAAAGAATTGGAATACACTAAGGAACTCTTAAAGGGCCATGAAGAGGAACATACACAATATGGATGCTCAGTTATGTCCGATGGATAGAGAGATAGGAAAAATAGAACCTTGATTAATTTTTTGGTGAACTGCCCAAGTGGGTAAATGTTTGTGAAGAGTGTTGATGGTTCTGAACACACTAAAACTGGTGAGAAATTATTTGAGCTTCATGATCAATTTGTTTAGACCATTGGGGAAGAAAATGTGGTGAAAGTGATCACTGACAATGGAAGTAACTATGCTCTTGCGCGTAATATTTATTAGTTAAACATAACTTTATTTAAAATTTAGAGTTTTGAATTTCCATAATGTGAGTATGCTGCCCAAGTTGAGTTTATTGATTTCCGTGTTAGGAAAACTGCTACAAGTTAAATGAAAGCATTTATTTTGGACACCATGTGCTGCCCATTGCATAGACTTGATGCTTGAGGATATTGAGAAGTTGCCCACAATTAAAACAACAATAATAAAGGGTATATGTGTAGTGGTTTCATCTATAACCACACCATTGCTCTCAACATGATGAGAAAGTTCACCAACAAGATGGAATTGCTTAGATGTGGTATTACAAGGTGTTGAGGTTTATTCCTTCAACCCTTGGACCCAACACGTAAGCCCAAAGATTTCGAGTGGAGTAAGTGTATGAATATCTAGCCCAACAACTATCAGATGGATCAGGAAACAAAAGAAATAGCAGGCAATGTAAATAGGTATTATTAACTTCGTAATAACTCCCCTAAGTACAATCTACTTGCTAAAAAAGGCACGTCGGCCGTTCGTCTTACAAGGCAGTTAGAAATGCTGCGAGTAATAATGCTGAAGCTAGTATGCTAAGAATAGAAAGTTGCCAACCCTTTACAATGAAATAAATGCTTCTATTTATACCCACCAATGGGCAGGTGGCTATACTGACGTGGCAGCCTGTGGACCGCTGGTGCCCCAACCACCAAATCTTCAGCATTAAATGCTCTTCCCGCCAGAATCTAGGTTTCCCGCCCAATCGGTGGGGACGTTCGTCCGCCCGGGAAGTGAGTTGGATCGCCCCAAGGGACCCTCAGGAGATACCGGCTGTTCGTCTCCTGGCCTTACGGGTATTCACCATGTGGACTAGGTTTCCTGCGATGACTATAGGCTTGCCATGGGGACGTTCGTCGTCATCCCTGGTGGCCCGTGGCCCTGCTCCTCGTCCCTACGTTGATGCTCGTCGGGAGGGGCCGCTGGGCCTGAACCCCAACCCCAGACGTTCGTCCATCCTCAAGGAACATGGGCCTGTGGGCTGGCCTAGTGTTCTAACTGGACGTTCGTCCGGCAAAATGGGTTAGTGGGCCGGACCTCGGCTTGGGCCCTTAACCCAACACAAGTCCCCCACTTCTGATGTTCTGAGCATGCGCAGGACATAAGGAAGTATGAACTCCCCCGAAGTAGACGTCCGTATCTTGGTACTTGTGTTTATTGCATCTGGTGGAAGCGTACGCTCGTGGTCATGGTGCTTGACAGCTGTTGACGGTTCAGGAAACGAGGTGACGGCTGATGTTGCGGCGGTGCATTTTCCCGAGGAAGTGTCATCATTACGTTCCCATCCCACGCACAGCGCGTGGGCCGGAATACGCTCCTTGCCACGTGTCAGCTCCTCGTTGGTTTCCCCATCGGTGTTTCTGCTATAAATGCCGGGTTTTCCCTCTGAATTAGGGTTCCCAATTTCTGCCCTCTTGCTTTCGACTTTCCGCAGCTCTTCAAGTCTTCTTCTCCCCTTCCGAATTCGGCTAACCCCCTTGTAAGGTAATTTTCCCCCTCTGCTTCTTTTCTTGTTCTGATTCCTAGCCGAC